CCTACTGCCCGCCGCCCCGTTCTTCCTATGCCCCTTTGTATGGTGTCTTCTTCGTGTATGTCCGTTTTCCTCGCGAAGCCCACCAGTCAAATGTCACAATGTTCCCGAGGTGCACGGGGGAAGGGAGCGGGCCAAGACTTAGCTTGGCCAACCAACGGTAAACACCAAGCAGAGTGGGGGTGAACAGGGCTGGCCGTGGGGAAATACAGTTTAAAGATAAAGAAATTGGGAAGGCTTGATACTCAGAGTCTAGCAGACTGCATATAGAAACGGCGACTGGGCTGGGTGATAGTACTTGTTTAAGCCTGAAGCTACCGACTTTTATATGGAGTTGTCATTCAAGCAAGGTAAGGAAATTAAATGCCTTTTTTCAACTTCTGCCTTTCTCTTCTTTAACTTTTAAAAAAGGCAGTAGAGTGGCTCTGTTCGAAACCTTGAAATTCAATTTGCTCATTTCAGACAGGTCTTTTAGAGCTTATGCTGTAGTTGAATGGTAGGTATAGAATTCAGCTTTTCAATGGGTGGTTATCAAATCTGAAATTAACAAAGGTAGTCAACTTAGTTTTTTTAAAAAATTCTTTTCCCGTCAGAAGCCTTGCAGCTTATCTTTTCCTGATATTTCTTTGATGATTAAAATATGCATATATTCTCTTTTAGTTATTTATTAAACTGCATGATGAGAGGAGCTGGTGGAGCTGGGTGGGTAACTCTAGGGTCTTGCTCTGAAGCAAGCTGCTTATTTTCACAGTATCAAATAAACATATCAGCGGCAGATTTTTTTTTAAATTTGGTGACTTAGAGTCTAAAAGCATTTGGCAAGGAATTTTAACTTAGAGGTATATTTTCTGTATTTTAGAAATTGTTCACTTATGAATAGGTTCAGTACATTTTAAACCTAGTGGCACTTTGACGTCTTAAACCAATGACAAACGAACTGGAAGTCACAGTGTTTATGGACAGAAATGATCAGACGAAATTAAGTGGAAAATAGTTCAGAAATTTATTTGAAAACTAGACCTTTTGACTACAGTATCTGCATGAGAATCAATGCCTGTAATTTACAAACGTTTCAGAGAGGTTGGACGTGCAGTTGGAAGTAGCCCATTCTGTCAAAAGTAGTGCTGACGGTGGAGGAAAATGTCAGAGCTGGTGAATGACATTAAAGGTCTTGATCCTGTTTTTAGTGTCTGAGAGGGACACAGTGAATAAAAGGCATTCCGTCATCTCTCTCGAGTTGCTTTCCTGAAAATGAAAGAGTTTGGGCTCTTTATTGCCCTTCTGCCCCCTTCCGCATGCTTTTTGCTCTTCAAGACAAAAATGTGCCGGACTTGGGGCCCCGCAGGTAGCACGACTTACTTTCGCGTTGCTACCGGGCCCGCCGGAGCACCATCTTTCGTGGCAGGGTGAAAGGTCTCAGCGTGGGCTGTGTGTGCATTAGAATCTCCCTGAGCATTTGAAGGTTGGCGGGGCCGGCGGGAGGTTTCCCCGGATATGTGGGTGTGCGCCTCTCCGGAGGGGAGGGCCGGGGAGGGGAGGAGGAGGAAGGGGGAGGTTACTGGCGGCGGCGGCGGCGGCGGCGGCGGCCCGGGCTCCGGCTGTCGGGGAAGCTGCTGAGCTGTGATGGTGATGACGAGGTGAAAATGGCGGATCTTTCGAAATACAATCCCGGCCCCTGACATACCAGAGGCGGCGGCCGCGGCGGCGTCGCCACCCGGGCTCCCTCCTTGGCCCCCGGGATCCCTGTAGCGCTCCAGTTCGTGCAGACTGGGGAAGGAAGCGGCTGGCCGGAGCTACCGTGCACAGGCAAAACAAGCACCGCCCGGGCTCGGAATTGCCCGGGACCTTCTGGAGTCCCCACCTCGGAGCCGGAGGGAGGAGACAGCGGCAGCCGCCGGAGGTAGAGGAGAAGGGGATACCCGAGGGCTGCTCTGTTTTGAGCTCTCTTTATTTGGGGGAGGGGGTGGGTGGGAGAAGAATTGCGTCGTGGGTCAGGGAATGACTAGTTCAGAGGGCAAAGAATCAGTAGCCTCATAATGACATCAACATTATTCTTTGAGTGTTAAGAGGGCTTGAGTTTGCTCTTACACCTAAGGCTGCTGCTGAGGCCTAGATGAACCGCTAGCAGTTATCATGATTACCTGATTTAATATTTAAAATATCCACTCTGGCGGGTGTTGGTTTGATGATGTTCAGCAGTTTATGGGGTTGTATGTTTCTTTAGGGAGGCAGAACATTGACATTTTATTCTGCATTTAAGCTCTGTGTCTTAGATCATAGTCTGTGACTTGTTGGGGTGTGGATGTTCACATTTTTTGAGCGTATGGACCAGTTTTGTAATCATTAAAACTGTTGTCGTTTTCGTTTACGGCTCTGTCATCTATAGAGGACCCCTTGGGCCCTGCCATTTGGCAAATAACAATTGAGATACTGTCAGTCATATTTGATATCCATGTTTTTACCTGCCTCTCATCCATTTCATGAATTCAGAGAGTAAAGTTATGGAAAATTTCACAGTAGATTTTATGATCCAAGTGAAGTGCAGCTCTGGGCGCTCTATTTTGGTTCACAAGTTTTACCTTCATTGTTAAGAAGGAAGTTGTGATGGCTTGATGCTCGCACTTGATACGAGTCAAATTTTAAGTTGGTTAAAGATGAATTGAGACCTCTGTTTTATTTTACATACTTGACTTGTTAGCCCTTTGTTTAAAGAGCTGGAGAATTGGCTTGATTGACTCTGTGACAGCCATTGTCTAATTTTGTTAGGTTACCCAAAGATTCATGTACGTTTTAGATTGTGCTGCAGATCCCCAACAGTAGTGTTACTGAAAAGTTACATGTGAATCAAATTTTTATACATTAATTTGGGGCCCTCTGTTTTCTTCCAGCTTTTGTAGTGGAAGATTGGGTCACTGGAAAGTTGAATATATGAGTGAACAGAGAGGTGAATGTTTAAGAAATGTCCCCTGGTAGTGTTTATGATAGCAGTGATTTTCCTTATCCAAGTTTCCTACAAAGAGATGATGTCATAGTATGTCATACAATATTATTCATTGAGTGTTTTATTCAGAGAGGAAATATTTGTGTGTATAGCTTGGACATTTGAGTGTCCGAATTCATTCACTAGAAGAATAAGAGACCAAAAACAATTTTTAGGGGAAATAACTGAGAGGTACTGAGGTTTTAGTTAATGAATTTTCTAAATCATTTTTTTTCCTGATATTCTCGTTTTATCCAGTAGGAATTTGGTTGTTTTTGTTGTTGTTGTTTTTTCTTATAACTTTTATGTTGCAGTTATTTGGGCCATGCCAACCCAGCTGCTAAGTTAATAGTAAAACTAAGAATTTTTAAAATAATTAAAATAAAGAGGGAGATTTAGTGCTTTTTCACTGGCTTTCTTTTTTTTTTTTTTAATCACCGAGTGCTATTGTCTTTTTGTGATTCCTTGTGATAGTCTTTCAAGACCAGCTTTTAGATTATTGTGGTTAAAACAATTAATAGTTAGAAGTGTGTTAGAAAGAAATGAAGAGTTATGCCAGTGGAGGTAGTCGGTTGTCTGTCTTGGTGGAGAGGAGCATTACAGATTCCTGTTACTTTTTTCAAATATTACTATTGGGTATCTATTATGTGTCACATACTATGCTAGGGATGGGCGATACCTCAGTATCTTTGCCTCAGGAAACTTTCACTTTAGGAATTGGAGATAAAGTTGTAAGGCTAGGTTGGGTAGGACCTTAATACAGAAGGCCTTGAGACTTACAGAAAATTTTTGAGTAGGAGAGTGACAGCCTCAGAGATGCACTTGAGGGAGATAAGTCCTGTAGCTTTTTCTGTAGGAAGTATTGCAGGTGAGAGGAGATAAAGGTAAAAATACGTAGTTGGCTCTGAGCTTTGGAGTTTTGGAAACTCTTGGTTACAGTGGGAAGGAGACATTGTGAGGGTGTAATCTGCATGATGTATGACAGATTAAAAGTTCTATGGAGAGGGAATTCCCTGGTGGTCCAGTGGTAGGGACTCCATGCTGTCACTGTCCAGTGCCCAGGTTCAATCCCTGGTCAGGGAACTGAGATGCCACGTGGAGATGCCAATAAATAAATAAATAAATAAAGTGAGTAAGTAAGTAAATAAAATTTTGTAAAAAGGGAGGAATCAGGAGAAGCTAATTTAGATAGAAAAAGAAGAGAAGAATTTTCATTTGAGCTTTAGTGTACCGCATAACTGTCTTCACAGTAACCCTGCAAGTAAACTAGGGCTTAGGGCTTCCCTGGTGGCGCAGTGGTTGAGAGTCCGCCTGCCGATGCAGGGGACACAGGTTCGTGCCCCGGTCCGGGAGGATCCCACATGCTGCGGAGCAGCTGGGCCCGTGAGCCATGGCCGCTGAGCCTGCGCGTCCGGAGCCTGTGCTCCGCAACGGGAGAGGCCACAGCAGTGAGAGGCCCGTGTACCGCAAAAAAAAAACCCAAAAAACTAGGGCTTAGAGAGATTATTGCTTAGGGTTACATGATAAGCAACTAGGAGAGTCAAGATTTGGAAGCAGATCTTTCTGATGTGAATCCCCATGTTTTTTCCACCAGGTTAATCTTGACCATGAATAATATACAATCTCTCTTTAAAGGGAAAAAAATATTGTGGATCCTCAGTATTGGCCTAAATAGTTTTATTTTATTAAAATATTTAATTTTTAGATGTATATAAATTCCTTATGCTTATTGCTTTTATGGAAGTATAAAGGAAAAGTAAATTTATAAATGAAATGTAAACAAAACTATAAAGCCAGTAAAACCAATTAAATTTAGGGTGATGGATGATATTGTTTTGCTGAAATGAAATCTTTCTTTGCATAGTGAATATACTATTGTGGGCCTTGGCTAGGTGTGCAGTTTTCTATATGCTGTATATCCTATGATAACTCAACTCCTACACTACTTTTCTGTGTTTGAATGCCACAGAGCTTTCCTCCTTAAATCACTGGTTAGGTGGTTTGGCTTTCACTTGGCATAAATGTATCATTTACCTTGTAATACCCTTCTATGCCCACTCTAATTCTGGTACCATTGATGGTAGATATGAGGTGGTTATCAAGGTGATCCAGAATATACTTTTAAAAAATATATATTATTGAAATGAAAATATGAACTTCTCAAAATTTCTTCAAGACTCATGTTTTACAGTTCACTGCTCCAAGCTTAGTTTGAGAAATGTAGTTCTGTACCTAGTTTTTGAGTTGTTGATGTTTGATCTTAGAAATGAAAGCTAAAATCCAAGTAGTATAGTTAACCAGATAGTGCTGGTGGTAAGCTCTAGGTACAAAAGTGCAATTCTTAAACATTCAAATGTTTCTGTCCCAACATCTGACCAATTACTCACCTATAATATGATGATAGGTCGTCACCATTTTATATTAGTATGTGCAAGAATGAAAACAGTTGTTTACCAGGTTGTCCTCCACCTGTAACTAAGGGAAAGAACAGTGTTTCAGCACTGGTAATATTCTCTAAGAAACCATTTAAAAATGTGAAAGCATAGAGCATTTATCATTTCTATCTTATATTATTTTTTATATTATATTTAACTCATTTCTTTTACTGCCCTAAATCTGTCCCTCTATTTATCTCTGTCTTGAACTAATTACTGTAATAGCCTTCTAACTGGTTTCCCTGCCTCCAGTCCAATAAAATACTGAGATGAAGTTAATCCTCCCAAAGTACAGCTGTGATCATGCCACTCTTCTGTTGATTTCTGAGGTCTGTCTGGGTAAGGCCTTTGGTTAATTTCCCTCCACAAAGTTGGGAAGCAATACATATTAATTAAATGCTGATAAAAAACATAAATAAGTTTAAAACTAAGGCTTTTAGAACTTGATTTTATGAGCAGAAATGTTGGAGGTATGGAGAATGCATTGTATGTTCAATATTCTTTTCTCTCCATACCTTGAAAGGTAACCTTTCATACAGATGTGGTAAACTAAAGCTCCTCAGTCCCATTGGCTTGTGAAGATCCTCTCTTTTCTTGGAGTGGTCCTCAACACAGAGATGATGAGGTTGCATGTGCTAGTACATATCTTCCATTCCTAAGGGATAAAATTAGAGTGATGATTCATGTAACTAGATGGCCAAACCCTTTCCTGCCATGCCCACAAGCTCCTTTTGAGAGTTTCTTTTAGCATAGGCCACCATGCCCTGCATGTGACCCTGACTGAAACAGATATGGATGTCTAATCATAAAGCAGTTATCACAGTCTGCTCAGTGGCCTGTGAAGTGTGCTGGCTCCTGAACTCTGCACAGCCCATACTGCTTAGAGACTGGCCAAACGAATCAGACCTTTTCTTGTTAGAAGTTTGAACTTTACTCCTACTTCCAAGGGAGACTCCTGGGTCTATAGCTCCTAGTCTCTTTTAATAGGACAAATAGGAAGACATGTTCTGCCTAATAACAGAGCTTTAAAATATATGAAGAAACAAAAATTCATAGAAGAGGAGAAAATGTCAAAGCCACAGTCGTATTTGGGAATTTTAGCAGCCTTTCTCAGTAATTGATAGAAAAGGAAAAAGAAAGACTATGGAAGATATGAACAACACTATCAACCAACTTGACCTAATTGACTTTTATAGGGTGCTACCCTCAGCAACCATAGAATACATGTCCTCTTCAGGTGCACGTGCAGTGTTCACCAAGATGGACCATACACTGAGCCTTAAACTAGTCTCTAAATTCCATCTACACATGATGGAAATGGTAATTACAGTCTCTGACAATAATAGGAGCAAATTAGAAATCAATAATAAAAGGTAGAAAATCCCCAAATATATGGGAATTAAATAGCACACTTCTTTATTTTCTGTGTATCAAAGATAAAATCACAAGGACTATTAGAAAACGTTTGAAGCGAATGATAATAAA